TCGACGTAGATTCGATATCAACGTCGCAAGGTTTCATCGCAACCAGTAAACTATGTAATGTAGCAGCGACTTCTTCAAACTACATCTCTTCGACGTTAACTAAATAATTCACATTGATATCCTCATGAGATATCTTTGTGACCTATGAGTGTGACGCAGACATGCGCAAAACGAACGCACACGCCAGACGCCATGTTGAGCTGTGCATGGTCACGTCAGTCAGTCAGTCAGTCAGTGAGTGAGTCCGACTCCGTACAGACTATTCCTTCCAAATTATCTGTTGAAATATCTGAATTGATTTATAGCACATATTATAGCAGCTTCAAATTGGAGGTATACAATATCATTTAGGAACGACGGTGAGTTCAATCACAATAGGTACTATTGTAATTATCTCTGAGATAGGAATATTGCAATCTAAAACAAGGTGGATGAAAATTCCCAAGATAATGTAAGTGTATTTGATATGTATCATTTATGAATAATGTATATTTCTATTGCTATATATATGTGTCATGTTTTACTTCAAGATTACTAATTATAGGGTGAATGTCATGATGAGTTTTGTATCATCAATTTTTACTTTCGGAAAATAAACATTTTCTTCGTAAAGTTGCATAATTATTATTATATATTTCCCACGAATATCACAGGTACGGCGACCACATCATCGATGTCGCAGTGTGATGTATTTGTAATATGAAATATACACTTGTATGTGACCTGGTTGTGATTTTTCATGTGATGTCGCATTTCATGTCTGAACGACGTCACAGTGATGTTGCTTGAGTCGGACATTTTCACATCGCCACGTTGTATCGGTAACATGTTTGTGACTTCAAATGCGATATCGCATGTCACAAAGTGATGTGGTGTATACATCACTTATACATCTCATGGTTGGCTGGGATGTGTCGTCTGATTCGGAGGCAGATAACACCTATCGTCCTCAAAAAGATGATATAGATTCTTCTGACAGTGATATTGAATCAGAGGTGAGTTTCAAGTAAATTTTTATTTTTGAGTTTATTTTTGGATACGGGCTTACAGGTTGGAGAAATTCCTAATGTGCGATATAATGTTTCTGCGGAAGTTAGTCAAGAATCAAACTCCGAAGAAAATATTTCTGTAGAACTGGGTTCAGACACAGACGTAGTTGAAGAACGAGCCAATGAGCAAACTGATGAAACTGATGCATGGAACAGTGATTCGGCGAGTATAAATGACTTCTTATTTGATCATACTCAAATAGGAGTCAAGTTATATGGAGATTTGAATTCGTCGCCATATGAAATTTTCAGTCAACTATGGAATAACGATATAATGGAGTTATTGGTGAATTCCAAGAATAATTATGGAAAGTCCTTAACTCGCCAAGCACGCCCTAAAACCAGAAATTCAAGAAGTTCCTCTTTCAAAGAGACAACTCAAGATGAAATGCAGAAGTTTATTGGTTTATGTTTATTGCAAGGTCAGATCAAAGTCCAGAATATCAGAAAACTTTTTAGTTTGGACCCGTTGAACTACCATCCAATATTTTCTTCGATGATGACTGGAAGACGCTTCGAACAATTGTTACGGTGTTTTTCTGTGCACAGTGGCGCCGAAAATCCTGATGCCAATGACTTCGAAAGATCAGAAGCTTACTGGATATATGTCTTCGAAATTTTCAAGATGCTTATACTCCAGCTAAAGAGTTATATCTGGATGAGTCTTTACTACTTTTCCGTGGGCGGCTTTCATTCCGAACCTACATGAAAAATAAAAAAACAAAGTACGGGATCAAGTTCTATGAACTTTGTTCTCATGACGGATATGTGTTGAATGTAGACATTTATAAAGGTCAGGGAGAAAACGGGCCAGACAATAATATGACAATTTTGGAACGTGTCGTTATGAAACTAATGCAGCCATATGTAAATAAGGGATACCACCTTTTTATGGATAATTACTTTAACAGTATCACACTTGCCAACAGATTGTTGCAGAATCAGACACATGTAACAGGTACCCTTCGCTCTAATAGACGAGGAAACCCAAAAGTAGTTGTGGGTAAACGTCTTCGAAAAGGGCAACACATCTGGAAACGTCAAGGAAAGATTCACATTTCGAAGTGGAAGGACAAGAGAGATGTTCTTTGCCTAACAACTGCTCATCATCCTACTTTAGCTGAGGCCAGAAATCGCTACAATCAAATACGTATAAAACCAGTGGAAATTATTGAATATAATAAATTTATGTCTGGGATTGATCGCGCCGACCAAATGATATCATATTATTCTTGTCCTCGAAAAACGATTTACTGGTATAAAAAAGTTATTTTTCATTTATTGGATATAACAGTTTGGAATTCCTATTTTTTGTACAGGAAAGTGACACAGAACACGAAAATAAAAAGATATATACAATACAGAGAAGCTCTTATTAGATCGCTATTAGGTATCGATAGCAACCTGAAGGATGGTCGCTTTCTTGTCAAGTTGAATCCAATACACCAACCTACTGGTCCAAGACCTCATTCTGCTACTCGTGCACCATCCCAACACTTTCAAGAACTTATACCAAGGCCAGACAACTATAGTAGAAAGTTTTATTACCTACGATGTAAACAGTGTTCAAAAGAGAAAAAGAGGACAGAAACCCATTGGAGATGTAAGACATGCCAGGACACTCCACCCCTTTGCGCTGGACCGTGTTTTGAAAGGTGGCATACAGAAAACAACTGATCTCTTCTGTTCAATAATACTTTATAATGTTCTAAATTCATAATAAAACCATTTCATGTGAAATTACGTCGACCGGTTGCAGCCGTCTTGTCCCATCAGACATATTTTTTCTGCCTGGTGGGACAGTGACGGTTCTTACCGTCATTGTTTTATTCGTCTAAAATAATCGATAATAAGCTGATAAATCACCTCTGAAAATAACAGTTCAAGATATTCTATGATACATTATGTTTTTTAGTGCGTTGTTTTGGTCAGAAAAATGTAAGTAGGTGTCCGTCAATGTGTTAAGGCATTTTCGCATTCAGGCGTCGATTACGCGGGGTCAATAAATCTTTCCCTATGTCGTCGCCGGGGTTCTAAAACGGTAAAAGGTTACATCTGTCTATTTGTTTGTATGGCAACCAAAGCTATTCATTTAGAGTTGGCATCTGACCTATAAAGTGAAGCGTTTTGGGCCGCGCTTCGCCGCTTCATTGGGCGACGAGGTAGAGTTTCGCACCTGTACTCCGACAGAGGTACCAATTTTGTCGGCTCATACAGACAATTACAAAAGGTTATGGAGTCTGTTGCTAATTCACAATCTATTGAGCATCATTTTTTAGCGGGAAATTCACCTCATATGGGAGGTCTCTGGGAAGCCGGAGTTAAATCTGTAAAAACTCATATAAAGCGTGTGATTGGGCAACAAATTCTGAGCTATGAAGAATTTAACACATTATTAATTCAAATTGAATCAATTTTGAATTCGCGCCCATTAACTCAACAAAGCACCGACCCAAATGACATTTCCGCTTCAACACCGGGCCATTTCCTAATTCTTGAACCGCTATCAGCCTTGCCGGAACACGATCTATCTTCCGAAAAAATTAACAGATTAACCCGCTGGCAAATGATACAGCGTTTGCACCAAGACTTTTGGCGCCGTTGGAGTGTAGAGTACCTACACACTCTGCAGCAACGCACCAAATGGTACGATCAATCGAAGCCTATTAACTTGGGTACTTTAGTTTTAATTAAAAGCGATAACGTCCCGCCCTTGCGATGGAATTTAGGCAGAATCGTCCGTGTAGCATCGGTAAAAACGAACGGTAGTGTGCTCGAACGGCCGGTTGTAAAATTGTGCCCTTTACCAATTGCTGATAACGAGTAATTTTCAATTTGTTTTCATGTGTTTACCTGTGTTCGTCAACAAATTATTTTCTGTTGGAACTCTATTTTTTTTTCTTATTAATATTTTTTTTGTTCTCATCATAGGAAAAGGCGCGTCTTACGGGCCTTTTGGCGGTGAGTATGTTGAGTATCGAACATATTCAATGAATATATCATTATAAATAATGTCATAAACATTCGATATTTTTCATCAACTTCAGTCATTTTTGTCAAATTATGTGATCAAACGCTCATACTGTATAAAGACTATCGTTCGTAAACAATGTCACTGACGCGATGATATACCACCTCTTCGATATAGGTCACGTGAGTGACCGGCAAATTTACCTGTATCACCTGAGAAAAGGACAGTAACCTATGAACTTCCGAAATAAAATTATTGTTAAGTGAAACAGGTGCTCCGCAGAAACACGCTACACGCAAGTCGCGATTTTCCTATTGAAAGTTATTTTGGATTATTTCATGTTTGTGAAGTGTTACGCCCTTCAGACCTCTTACTACCAAGATTCAAGATCAGCAGATAGGCACATCTGGAGGGCCCTCCCTACAAGAGCCTATATCTACGAGCACCATCATCCTACAGGAACGCTGAGCCTGGTAAGTCGCTTCAGTGACCGGGACTGAAACTTTATATTCATTTTCATATCCATTTTATGACGTTTGATCGTTCCCCGAATAGTTACACTCCATTTTGAATTTACACTAATCCCTAATTATTGGAATACACCCATTCTTCTCTTCAACTTAAAGTTATCGAAAAAACAATATTGTTTGAATAAAATGATGAATACTTAGTTTTACTAAACTAGATTCGAAGTGCTTTTCGCTGATTAACCTTCATATTTGTCAATAACCTTATTCATCAAATCATTTCTAACCAGAATACCAGTTCCTCCTCTTAAAAAAGCTGTTCTACAAAAACATGATGCAAAAGTGTAATTCGTAAAATTATTTAAGTAAATCTCTTCCTCCTTAAGAAAATGTTCATATAAACATATAATATCAATTTCGACTTACAGTGTATGCTTCCAAATCCAATATTTTATTATTTAAACCTTGAATGTTCAGTATTTGTCTGTGAATTTGGAGGTCTCGTAGCATTAACTATATCTGACTAGGGTAATCGGGCAGATTACTTGTGGCTATATCAATCTGACTTTGGTGATCTGGTGGGTTGCTAGTTTGGGGAGACTTCTGGAATGTACCATACATCAGGTATTGATTGACTTCTTCAACATTTAACTGCGATGAGAAATTGGAATTGAGATCCGATATGTTGAACTTGACACCATCTATCAATAGTCCATTTCTTTGGAGCTGCACTGTACAACCTCTTCTGATTAATTCTTCCTCGTGGTACAGTAATGTTTTTTTATCTGGTCGCTGTTCTGGGATAAATCATTTTCAATAACTATACCAGTGTTTTTTAATTTACCAACGTTTTCAAACACGACGTCTTTTACTTTTTGCGAAACAAATTTTATCAGAATCGGTCTGTTAATATTGTTAATTTTTTGTCCCAGTCGAAATATACATTCAATGTCCATGGGTTTTATATCGACGGTTAGATAGTCCTTTATGATTCTGATCACTTTTCCTTCTGAGTCTTCGTTTGGTTCGCCAATACCAAAAATTACGGCATTCTTAGATCGAGGTGTATTTTCTACATACGTTAGCCTTTTTTGAAGTGCTGTATTCACGACCTTCAGTTGATTTTTTTTCCACAGCGTTGCTGTTTATTTTTGCGGCTATCTCATTCTACAGTTCTAGATTGTTTTCATCCATTCGCAGCACAATTTTTTCGAAAAGTTCATTATTTGATAAGTCTCTTCTTTCAGAATGACTTTCGCTCATCATTTTGGAATAGGAAATTATTCGTATAGGTATAACTTCATTTATTTGACAGAGCACTATGAACACGTCTGCTCAGCTTGAACTCTCGCACATATATCCAATATTTATATATAATATAGGTACTAATGATATGAACCAAAAAAGCAATTTTTCATCTGATTCAGATCAAATAGAAATTTTTATATACCTCTGTTTGTTTCTCACGATTATTTTTTCATTTGTTCTGTATTTTTCTTGGGTAGTTTCACTATTCGTCCCTTTTTCTATGTACTTAAATCTTATGAGTACCTATGGAACTGTATGAAATAAATGATCTGTCGCGTTCCTGAAAGGTTCAATTCAATTCTTCCAAGTGTTCACCGATTTATTTCACTTTATAATCATGTTACAAGAGTGTCCCGTTTTATTTAACTGTTGAATTCGGCCGTCTATGCAAGCACCACGTCTGCTCCTTGCGAGCTGCAATCTGATATTTCTTGCCCTAGGTTATTGAAAGGTGAATTTCAACCTGCCTGAAGGTTATCCGGGTTTGGAATTACCCGTCCAGAAAAAATTGATCCTTCTGAAGCCACGTTGAGAGGAGAAGCTACGCGTCGTGCTGCGACCAATTCCGGGGAACCATTTCACGAGTTCCTGCCAAGTGACAGAATTATAATTCGTGCAAACAATGTATCATCAGCTACAAAGCCCGAGAAGAAGAAATGCTCTTACTATTATTTCAGGACCATATTGTATTGAGAAAAAGGTTAATTATGCCACATATGTTCTAATTCATGACCAGGATGATAGAGAACGGGACATTTTTTACGCTCTCCATATGAAGTTATAACAGGTATTCAACAATGATTGAGTGCCATGTGACAATTTTTGACCTACGTTAAAGAGATACGAATGTATTCTTGGTTGCATGATAATCTTCCACGTGGTTGTCAATTATTGTTGAAGACCCGTTATAAGTGTTCACCTATTTATTTCACTTCATTATCCTTTTACAAGGGGTTATGGGCACAGGTAGAATATAAATCAACATTTGCAACAGAAATGTAATTTGCAATAAATTGATTCCGAGAGAAAATCCGAAAAATGAAAACTCTCCTGGAACATGAAGAACTCTGGAATTCTCTCACTGGGGTTGACAGCAAGAAGAATGTCAATGCACAGTCAAAAATCATTCTGTCTATCGATCCTGTTAATAACATACATCCACGTCGTTTTCAATCATTGTTGCAGACCCATCATAAGTGTTCACCGATTTATTCCACTTCATTTCCTTTCACAAGAGGTTATGGGCCCAGGTAGAATATAAATCAACATTTGCAACAGACAAGTAATTTGCGATAAATTGATTCCGAGAGAAGATCCGAAAAATTAATACTATTTCAACCAATCATTTACAACTATTGAAGAACTAAAAGGGCGTGAAAATTATGATTCATGGCAATACGTCATGAAAACTCTCCTGGAACATGAAGAACTCTGGAATTCTCTCAATGAGGTTGGAAAGGACAGCAAGGAATATGTCAGTGCAAAGTCAAAAATAATTCTGTCAATCGATTCTGTTAATACCATACATCCACGTGGTTTTCAATAATTGTTGAAGACCGGTTATAAGTGTTCACCGATTCATTCCACTTCATTATCCTTTTACAAGAGGTTATGAGCCCAGGTAGGATATAAATCTACATTTGCAACAGGCAAGTAATTTGCAATAAATTGATTTCGAGAGAATACCCGAAAAATGAAAACGATGTCAATCGATCAATTACTCCTATTGAAAAACTTAAAAGGACGTGAAAATTATGATTCATGGAAATTCGTCATGAAAACTCTCCTGGAACATGAAAAACTCTAGAATTCTCTCACTGGGGTTGAGAAGGACAGCAAGAAAGATGTTAGTGGAGAGACAAAAATAAGTTTGTCGATCGATCCTGTTAATTACATACATGTCCTGGGATAACCTGCAGAAGGCATTCCAAGATTTAGGTTTTACCAGAAAAACTGCGGTTACTGCGAACATTAATTCAAACTAAACTGGAATATAACTCTTTCGTTGAATAAAAGGTGAACAAAATTATCACCACCGCTCATAAATTGTCGGGCATTGAAATGATGATTAGTGATGAATCGATTGGTACGTTACTCTTAGCAAGACTAACAAGAGAATACAAGCCTATGATAATGGAAATAGAGGGTTCCGGTATAGTGATTAGTTCCGATTTTATCAAAACAACTAAAATCCATCTACATTTGGAATGTGATAGTAGTTTTTTTCAGTCAACAGCTTTATTCAGAAAAAATTGTCGAAGAAAACATTCCCAACCGAGAGGGAAAGGATCAAGATGCTACAAATGCAACGAGTATGGTCACATTTCTCGTAACTGCAAATTACCTGATAAGAAGTCGAAGCCGATTCAAGAGAAAAATTTTGTCACTTCTTATGTTGTGGGTGGAAGTGATTCAGAATCCTGGTACATCGACGGTGGAGCCTCAGCGCACATGACCATGAACTGCGAATGGCTCAAGAATCGTACAGAGGCTCCAAGTCCATATTGCCAATAATACACATTTCCGTGTAGAATGTATGGGTGACAATGGATATGTGGAATGGAAATATCTCATCAAGATTTTTCATAAAGAATGTGCTTTACGTGCCTGAACTTTGCACGAATCTCTTATCTGTGAGTCAAATGATCAAAAATAGAGATCGTCTGGAATTTAATGTAACTGGTTGTGAGACATTCAACTCCAGCCCCAATGGGCACACGTGCGTTTTTTCAACGTATTATCAACGTAGAACGAGTAAGATAGACGTTTATGGTTGAGAAATTCAACGTTGAAATATGGATCAAGTATTTGAAGTTGAATCTGAATGTTAATTAAACGTTTAGAAAATAATATGTCCTGAAGTTTTGTTGAAATTATGCATTTATGAAACTTTTCCTCAAAACGTTATTTAGACGTTCGAAATGAACGTTTCTTCAACGCGAATCTGTCACCATTTTCTGACCGAGAGTGGAAAAAGAACGCAAATGAAACGTTTTTGAACGACCTTTTTCTTCTGTTATTTGTCAACGTGTAATATAAGTTGTCGTTAAACTATATTCTATATTATAGTTGAACTGTTCAAGGAAAACTAACGTTTGTACCAAACGTTTGTTAAAATCTTGGAATAAAGTTAAATGGATTATCGACAATTGGACGTGGTCAATTGGACGCACGAAAATTGGACGCGGATAATTGGACGCGGCGACAATTGGACGCGATGAAAATTGGACGCGGCGACAATTGAGCGCATGCGAAAATAACAATAATTTTATAATTCCAATGAAATTTATTGCATGGAATATGCAGGGCTCATATCTATAATATAACAAATACCTAACCTAACCTAACTAACCTAAAATATTGTACTATATTCGTATCGTAAATTCATATTACGATATGAGATAGGAAAATAATTGTCAAACGAGGCCATAGGAATTTGTTATAATTATGGATATAAGCCCATAAGTATTTCATATTTTATACAATGAATTTCATTGGAATTATAAAATTATTTTTATTTACGCATGCGTCCAATTGTCGCCGCGTCGAATTGTCGCCGCGTCTAATTGACGCCGCGTCTAATTGTCGCCGCGGCCAATTGTCGCCGCGTCCAATTGTATCCGCGTCCAATTGACTGCGACCAATAGTCATGCGTCCAATTTTCCACGTCCAATTGACGCGACACCAAGTTAAATATAAACGTTTCATGAACGTATTGAAAACGATATGTTCTGACATCTATTGAAATTATGCATTTATAAAACGTTTCTCCGAAATGTTAGTTAAACGTTTGGAATAAACGTTTCTTTAACGCGAATCTGTCACCATTTTCTGACCGAGTGTGGGAGAAGAACGCGAATGAAACCTTTTTCATCAACGTTTTTCATCTGTTATTCGCCAACGTGTAATATGAGTTGTCGTTTAACTATATTCTATATCATAGTTTGACTGCTCAAGGAAAAATAACGTTTGTCCCAAACGTTTGTTAAACTTCCGGAATGGAGTTGAATCCAAACGTTTTATAAACGTACCATAAACGATATGTCCTGACGATCTGTTGAAATTATGCAATAATGAAACGTTTCCCCGGAACGTTATTTAGACGTTCGAAATGAACATTTCTGTATTGCGAATCTGTCAACATTTTCTGACCGAGAGTGGAAGAAGAACGTGAATGAAACGTTTTTCAACAACGTTTTTCAATTGTTATTCGTCAACGTGTAATATAAGCTGTCTTTAAACTATATTCTATTTCATCCGTCATTTGGGAACGTGTGTTTTACAAGGATACAAAACTACTTTTCATCGATCTGGCAAAGTCCACACGTTGAACTAACGCCTATCCAAAACGTTAATTGAACTCTCGAAATGAACGTTACTTAAACGTCTTTTGAAAGTATTTGATAACGGTTGGTAGAAAATAAGCGTGTAATATATGTTTTCTAACGACGTTAGATAATCGTCATTAGACAACTTGTATTCATTCCGTTTACATCTTGCCGACGCTCACACCAAGAGTTTAGGTACAAATACGAGTAGTCGGGCAAATTAGAATAGGTATTCAGCATCAACTCTCAGCGCCGTACACATCAAAGCAGAATGGTGTCGCGGAGAAAAGGCGAGATGTATGTTATTGGATTCAGAACTGGAAACCAGTTTCTGTTAGCCATCTGCACAGCTAAAAATATTTTGATCGAATTGCTCAGGATGAAATACAAGGATTTTTTATCTTCAGGCAATTAATGGTGAACATTTGGATCAAATTAGTTATTGATTCATTCGATGGAATGGCTGAAACTAACTTCAATTCGATTTTTTATATCTTTAGAACGGATGTGCTATGGAAATGCGCAGAACAGATGATAGAGAAGCCTATAACAGAAGGCTCCATTCACCCTTATCATCATTGTAACTGATAAAGCCAATTCAAGTACTCACCATCCAAATCACAGTCAGAATACTCTGGATCAATATCTTCACATAGAAAATGAGGTATCCCTTGACCCCTATCAGATAAACTATTTGGTATCTGGAGAAATGATGGTGAAATATTCAGTCCCCAATTCAATGCTGGTTTAACTTCTACCTCCATCCATTCATTTTCAAAAATTTGATGATCCATATTCAGTTGACACGCATCTTTGTCATCTGAAAAATAATCATAGTAGAAATAGTATATTATTGATATCAAGTGAATATGTTGATACCTTTTTCAGAAATAACAATGTAGAATAAATAAAAACCATACAAAAATTCCACATTCTTGTCTCCGGAATGTCGTATCAATTGTTCGTTGTACAAAGTTTGCATGATCTGAAATGACAATTTGAATAAAAATTTTCTATAAATCAGTCATCACATGGAAGATTTCATTTTTTAGTCGATTTAGAACGAATACATCTTGATAACATTTGCATCTGTGTACCATATCGTTACAATATCCAAAAAATAACAATAACTACATATTTTGAACAAATATAGTAAGACTTAACATGATATTACGTCTCTGAAGGATTTGGTTCCCATACTACATAGCTCATGAGGCCACACAAGGAATTGAAAACAATGAAGAATAGTTCCTAAGTAAATGGTAGGTAGGAGTATCCTAAAGCCTTCGAAACATTGCTGAATTCCATAATTGCGGTCAAAAAATATCACTATCGAGTATGGATTCATGAGGAAGGCAATATTCGACAACCTTCATTACTAAGAAAATAATGATTGCTCATGATTAGCCACTTCGGAAATTCCGAAGAACAGATAAAAATTTAATACAAATCAGCAGCCTTTCTGGAAGGATGATCAGAATCGAATACAGCGTATCCAATTATTGTAAATAAGCTTTTGTGACAGTATTTTAGAAACTGAGGTTTATTGGAGGTATGCTCCATTCGAACGAACCGTGTTCGTGGAAACATAGATCTCGATAATATAATTAGATTCTAATTGAGAATCCGAGAATTACGTTTGTCCTGAAATTAAATACCTACATACCTACCTACCTCTGAATTGTCATTATTTTCACTGAAATTGATATGATAGTGACCGAAAGATGAAACATCAGATAGCAACTCTGAACAAAGATCATTTTGCAGGAAATAGGGGACAATGTTGAAGTCATACTACTACACTGTTTTACCACTAACCGATTTTCTGAACACCTCGACACGAGTTTCGCTAACTATCTTAGAAGACAATTGAAACTGAATATCCTTTTCTAGTATAATGCTTATAGATTGGGAGCACACAACGTGTTTTTGTTGTCCCATTCGTTCACACTCTGCAGTATAAGAACCCTCTAAATTCAACCTTCTACTACAAGGATATGACCGAATAAAAATCGTGACCAAAAGGGTGGAAGCAGCAAGGACAAAGATATATTAATAAACTCGAATCATTACTCCCTGCAAGTTGATGTAATGGGCGAGTGGACTGATAATGAATTATTGGCATTCAATTACTTCGGTGTTTTAGGTATATAATGAGTTTATGCGTTGTTCGAAATTGTTGAATTTCAGAGCTCATTTCAAACGAACCTTCATGGCCACCATCAGGCGATACGTCGAGTAAGTGGCGACGTCAGTTTTTATGCTGTTGCCTAATTGGTCAGATAACCTTCTATTTCCACTCATGAAGCAAGTTTGTCAAGTCACCAATTATAATCAAGTTATAGAAGAGTCCTGTAGTAGAATAAAACATAATAGGAGGAACCCACGATGCTTTCCTCAGGGGCTCACAACTTGTGAGTACGGGAATGGTGAACCCGAGGTACCCTAGTCGGATATTCACCATACTTCAACTTGTCTTGGGTGATATCCTCTTCTCTCTTCCGTTTTTCAATCTATCTATCGGCCTTTCTTGGCCAACTTCTCTTTTCCTCCTCCCCTCCAAGCCCAACGTCACCATCAAGTGGTGTGGGGAGGACAGACCGCGGCCGCTCGACGGATGGAGCATTTTGGGAACATCTTTGCTATCTCGAGGCTCTGGCAACCTAATCCAAGCTGTGAAAACCCGTGGTGATAGATGAATGGCACCGAGGTATGGTATCGCTAACGGGGCCTCTGGGAAACAGGGCGACAGAGTAAGTAGCCTTAGCCCTGTGCAGAAGGCACCACAGGGCTGGACCAACCCCTTCCCCCGTCACTCGTAGGAGAAGGAAAACTTTTGGCCTTCTTCGTAGACGAGAACAGGGATCGGAAGAGTAATCTTCAGGAACCTGAACGAAAAGGGTCTTTCATATTGAAGTGGCCCTTAATAAGCACCATGAGTCGCATATGGTAAAATTTATAACGACATGTAGGCAAGATACAATGGGCCACTAGGCCTAAGTGTCGTCGGAGACTTCGGTCAGACGAGCCTACAAACGGGGTGGAGTGTTTAGTGGGTAAACCCTGGAGTCAGGGGACTCCCACACTATCATATGGGGAATTGGACCCATATGGTGTTGTGATGTGCTCTTGCTCAGGGTTCTTAGGTGATGAAAACCGCTTCTCGTTCTTCTCGTTTAATACAAATCAGTCGAATATACAATAATACGAACAAAAATGTAACATTCCATCATTTTTGTTCGAAGGAAAAATTACCCGAAAAGTCAAAGTGACAATCCTCTCTAAATCAATAGTTACTGATGCCTGTTGTTTTCAAAGCTGACCTAACCATTACATTACCCCCCCACTTGAATAATTGAGGTACAATAATCATTGTTACGAAATATTGAAGTGAAAAATAATGCATTGCAAACACAGAACTCAACTTTGAATATTGAGAGAACTGCAGATCTATATATGGAATTAATGAACGCTGGCTAATTCGTTGTATAGCTTCAAATTTATAACATTATGTTTAGCAATTTCTACCCCATTGTGGTCACTTACTATATAAGAATTGGGACCCACTAATCGGGCAATAAAGAATGGTCCTTCATATAACAAAACAATTTTTTTTATAACGCGATCTTCAGCTGAAGATAGTGCATGCTGACGCACTAGGACTTTATCTCCAACTTGAAATGAAATAGGTTTCACTTTCGAATTATGCCTAATAGCCCGTTGTTCTGCTTTTGATCGCAATTTGTTAGATGCAATCATCCAATATTGCTCTAATGATTTATTTCCATTATCAAATATTTCTGGGAACTTCACAACACCCTCAATGAAACTAGGCTTGATTGTACCATATTGAAGAAAATTTGCTGTATATCCTGTACTTTCATTAATCACATTATTAAGACAATTCTCAACCCAAGTCAATAAAGTCGCCCATTTAGTATGTTTTTCGAAGCAGTAGGCCCTTAGCATACGTCCTATTTCCCTATTATATCGCTCAGTAGGGTTTCCTTGCGGAAAATATATAGATATATGTTTGAATTTGATACCGGCCTCATTCAAATTCCTCGCCCATAGTTTTGATGTGAATTGCGTAGCATTATCACTAAGCATACATTTTGGTTCTTGTACTTTGATTATATAATCATTAAATAATTTATTCAAAATGATTTTTGTGGTGGCTCGTTTCAGCGCATATAACTTGATGAATTTACTAAAATTATCCAAAATAACCAATAATTGCGTTGCACCTCCCCGACTTGGTGGAAGAGGTCCCATTAAATCAATGCAAACTAAATCCCCCGGTTTCTCTGTCAAAACGGCATGTCTCAAACCCTGACTAGCAGGTGATATCTCAGTTCTCTGACATAAGTCGCAACAAGCTACAATTTTCCGAATGCTTCTCTGCATTTTCGGCCAATAAAAATGTGTCTTCATGTTATTATAAGTTTTAGTTGATCCGAAATGACCAATACTCTCATGTTGGAATTTTATCAACTCAACAATTTGATTACGTGGCACACATAACTTACAACCACTACTTTCCATATTCCCTTTGCGAAACAACAGTCCATCCTGAACGATATACCATTTTAGAATTTTTTTGTGTCCGCTGCTCAATGTGTCATAACTTCCATCATATTTTTCAAGAAATCTAATTTTCGACTTAATCCACTCCTCATTCAACTGATCTACCCTCAGATCTTTTACAATGCATTTCAAAACTTTATTATCAATGCCCAATCTCGTGAAGAAAATTTGAATATTCTCAGCATTATAGTTTGGCTCCGCTAATTGACTTTTTTCTGTCGGATTACGCGATAATACATCCGCCACGACATTTTCCACCCCTTTACAGTGACGTATTTCAAAATTAAACTCTTGGATATATATAATCCATCTAGTAAGCCGTGCACTTCTGAATTGGCTTTTCATTAAAAACTGTAATGATTTGTGATCGCTGAATATAACCAATGAACGACCCAAAATTAACACTCGCCATTGCTTTAAACAACATACTACCCCCCATAATTCTTTTTCTGTCACCGTATAGCGCAATTGACTGGATTTCAATGTTTTACTAGTATATGCTATAACACATTTCTCAGAAGTTTCGCTATCAATCTGATACAAACTACCTCCTACCGCAAAATGAGAACTATCGCACTCTATAAAAAATGTACGATTATGATCCGGGTGCGAAACCATGGTGGCGGATAAAAAAGCTTCTTTGATTTCTGTAAAAGCTGTTTGTTCACGTTCGGTCCATCTCCATAGTGTACCTTTTTTTAATAATTCTAATAAAGGAATGGTGAGTTGTGAGTAATTTCTACAGAATCGATTATCGTAATTTACTAGACCCAAAAATCCTCTAAGCCCCTTAACATTTTTCGGCGCAGGGAACTTTTCGATTGCTTCAATTCTTTGATTATCCATCAGAATTCCTTCTGATGTGATGATATGTCCCAGGAACAAAACCTCATTTTTGAAAAATTGAGATTTTCTTAGTTTTACTGTGAATCCTGCTACTGATAATTTTGAAAATACATTATTCAAATGTTCAAAATGCTGAACATAATTATTTGAAAAAATGAGTAGATCATCCACATAAATGAACAGGAAATCTTGTTCACCCAAAACTAATTTTAAACACCTTATCAGGCTAGCCATCGATGTAGATAATCCAAACGGGACCCTATTAAAAGTATACGACATTCCCTCAAACATAAATCCTATATACTTTTGATCAGTTGATTTTATCGGCAGTTGCCAGTACGCGGCTGTTAGGTCAATGGTACTCAAAATTTGACCCCTTTTAAAATTCAACAATAGCTCATGTGGATTGGGTGGCGCAATGAAGTCTTTGCCTATACGTTCATTCAAATACCTAGCGTCTAGGCATATTCTTATGGTATCATCTTTTTTCCGTACCGTCACAAGCGGTGAAATGAATTCAGTTTTCTCTGCTTTTATTACATCATTGTCAAGCATTTCTTGTATTTGTTTACGTACTTCCTTCCGGAAAATGAAAGGAACTGGGTAAGAGGGACAACAAAATGAGCTTGTATCTTTCATTTCAATAGTATGTTCATATTGACTACATAACCCAGGACTTTCTGAGAATAGATTATTATATTTATTCAGTAATTCGTATAACTCGTTCTTTTGCGAAACTGACGTGAGATTTGAAGATTCTACAGCCTTTCGAAAATCACTTTCTCCATATTTATGTTTCTGAATATGACAGTTCAATTTCTCAATTCGACTAACTACCAAATCATTACCTTCGTCCCTCAATAGTGAACACATATCATTCTGTTTACACAAAAAATCCAACTGATATTTCAAATTTTGGTAAGTGAAATTCAAAATCATACCATCAAAGTTCAGTTCCGCCTTGAAATCTTTCATCCAATCAGCTCCAAGTATTAAATTCGTATTCAGCTTAGGAACGATCAAGCATACCAACTCACAATTAACTTCACCTAGCGAAACTGATAACAAAGCTTGGCGCCTAACTTTTTGCGATTTTGCCCCTACTGCTACGATAATGGACGTGTTTGTCAATGGAATAACTGGTATATTACCTAAGTTCTTTTCCAAACGGTTGAAAAATTCTTCCGAAATCGCGGAAACTTCACTCCCACTGTCCAATAAAGCTTCCACCCTGTATTCATTTATAGCTACTTCTACTACAGGTGACTTAATATTAACTTGTGGACCATCTTTTCCATCATCATCATCGCTGAGTAAATAATCTTCCGGATCTTCATTGAACGCTGATATCAGATACATTTTGTTCGTATCCGCACCAGAATTTCCGGAAGTCTGATTATTATTATTAGTATTTCTCGATATTTCGACATACCTGGCGTTATTATAATTTCCGCGATACTGATTTTCCCTATTATAACCCCTTTGATTATTCCTCACAGGATCCTGCTGACCACGCCACTGGTGTGAACTATTAACATTTTCAGCAGAATTATTAATATTAGCAAAAGTGTCATCAATTTTTCTCAGATAACTTTCTACATCTTCAATTGACTTCAATCCTTGTGTAATGATACCTCGCTGAATTTCACTAGAAAAATGTTTTGCAATCATGTCTACCAATGTTTCCGTTGGTATAAGTTGAGATAAACAATTAGCTTGTGCCACCAAATTCAAAAAATAATCCGCTCTTTTTTCTGAAGAACCCACTGCTTCAAATTTCCCATAACTGATTTTCAAATATAAATCTCTTTGCATCTCTATACCCCAAAATCTCTCCTTGAAAGCTTTTTCGAAATCTTCAAAAGTTACAAAAGAATCTTCCTTCATACATGCCCAATCTGCAGCTGACCCACGTAAGTTATTTATTGCCAAACTTGCTTTATAACCTTCTGGTACACCAGCATCTGATAATAATTTTTTGAACTTTTTTAGGAAAATAATTGGATGTACCTTCCCATTGGGATTGAAAGTTAAAGTTGCACCCCCCAATTCTCGCCAATTCAAAATATACGAACGATCCTGTATATTTAATGCTACCTGAGTTCCTTGACAATTACTTGTACCCCCCTGTATCTGACTATGACCATCTTTTTGCAGATGACACATTGATTGACTAGCCTCATGACTATTATTTACCTGTTGTGATAAATTTCTAATAGTTTGCTTCAATTCTCTCATATCCAAAGTAAGCTTCTTGATTAATTCATTCATATTCTTATTAGACAACTCTATCATCTCACTACCATTCTCTACTGACATACTTTCATCAGATATTCCATCCATTTCCGTTTTATCACCATCCATACCTATCTTGTCACCCTTTGTACCCTTTTCCTTGTTATTCCCTCTTTTAGGGGGCATTATACAATACTCATCTACCTATTGTAATGAATTTTCAAATATAGTGAATGTCTCTCTGAATATCTAAATATCTAAATATCTACTATATAATGAAATGTTAGGTAATACTTGTTGCCACGAATTCTTGGCACCTGCCTGGACTTTTCTGCTCTTACCAGGAATCTTCCTCTCGATCCAACTGAGTTGACCCGTGAATTCTGTGCAGTTGCTCCTTTTCCAAAGTTACTCGTCAACTCAACAGCAACTATCCCTCTTCCAGTTGTCTCTCTAATCTTCAACCGCTGCTTCCTTATCTCCGATCTCCAATTTCCTTTCTTTCACGTTCTGCGCTCTATCTTCTACCACCGTTTTCTCACCTTGCCACTAGTTGGTGCGCCAAATATGTGATGTGCTCTTGCTCAGGGTTCTTAGGTGATGAAAACCGCTTCTCGTTCTTCTCGTTTGATACAAATCAGTCGAATATACAATAATACGAACAAAAATGTAACATTCCATCATTTTTGTTCGAAGGAAAAATTACCCGAAAAGTCAAAGTGACAATCCTCTCTAAATCAATAGTTACTGATGCCTGTTGTTTTCAAAGCTGACCTAACCATTACAGTGTCCATAAAGGATTTCGACCACCTCGATAAAAAAAACCACGATACTATATAGTTCCTTCTTGACTTTTCTGAGCAACCAGCATGTCCAAATATTTCTTATTTTTTATAATAACATATCATATAAATATTGGAGACTTGGCAACATTGTGCTGAATGCTGCGAACTGACAAGACCACATCCACAAGTCGTGCGTCGTGGTTGTCACGTTCACCGATTCAAATATCCTCTATAGTGTGAATTGATATAATTATTATTTACACAAATTTATCATAAGCAATTGGCCACGAATCATAAGGGTACATTTTGAGACAATTGAATTATAATTTCTAATTAGGAGTACAACCAATACTCAATTGATAAATTATGAATTAACGAATAACTAATATTTCTGTGCTATGGTCTGCCTCTACTTACGAAATCGTGGCGTCAGTTTTTACTGGCGGTAAATTTCTATCCGTTTAAAAATTATCGTGGCATTATTGATGATTTTAGTACCTTGAAATCGACCAAAAATTTGTTAAAAAATATGGAATTGAAAGGTATTCGAGTGATGATTCTATTTAGGAGATAAAAAAATAGTCCACTCGCCTACTTATAAAAAAGTTTGGGCGGACGGCATTGCCATACGTGTAGAGTGGATACGATGTGCAGTGACGCTGTGCGCATTTGTTTATTTCCCGTATTTTGTGAATTCAACTGATTATTCACAAATACCCAAGTTAATATGATCGCCAATCATTTTGGTTGGATCGGGAGTCAACCACCCCCGCGTACTTTTGTCTTGAGGGTGTAGAGTACGTTTGTACCATACATCAATGTTTGGCTGGATAAACTAGATATCATGATCAAGAGATCTAGGGAGAACAGAGTTGCCCCAATTGTCAGCAGGAGCAGGAACGTATTTTTTCGGGCCACCAGGCCTCATCAGCTACTCTGGGTCTGCTGACAAATGAAACAACTCAACGCTTTGGTCATCTAACCTGACAGATGGGAGTACCTGAGTACTTCAATGGAATGATCCACCAATCCCATTCAGAAAAACAAGCTTCCATAATAAGGATATCTAGGATGAACAGAGTTGTTCCAATTGTCAGCAGGAACAAGGCAATTCTTCTTTGGCCCACCAGGTATCGTCAGCCGCTCCCAGTTTGCTGACGAATGGAACAACTCTCTAAAAATGCCATGAGGTGTACTCCATGCTCATCATTGTCTAATTGGTTATAAGCATTAGGATTTGTCAACTTTGAAAATTTCAATGTTGTAAATAGATCTTGAATGAGCGGCAAGAGATGAAAATCTTTCGAGTAATTTTTAATGGTGGTTCTATAATGCGCACATAATATAATATCACCATTTAGTCTTCCTAACTATAATTTTTTTCTATAACCCCCACTTTTTTTAACCGATGTGATTTATCCAGCTGTATAACAACTTAAGTAAATGTACAGCATGAGCAGGGTACCATTTTTAGCTTTTTTCTCACGTTAATTCCCGTAAGAAAATTTCAGGTCAAAAATAGCAATAGTTATTTATTATACAAGGGAATGGAACGTGTACGTGGGTCTATGAGACGACGAGCAGACGCATGCATAATGATGCAAGGTATAACAGAAAAGAAGCAATATGTGGAAATTGAATTCCGTAATAATGCCTTCTCACGGCTCTGATCAGAAATTGTACAGTTGATACTCGAAAACGGATCCAACAACGAATCAACTTTTCAACACCCTATTTTCATATAGTTTTTCGAAGCCTTCGATTCTTCGTAATCACAAAATTACTACTTGATCGCCGGGCGTATAGGTAACTTGTAATAAGCATTCCTGTATAATTTAGGACAACTATGTTCAAGTTGCGATGGTTCATTATCTTATATCACAGTTGTCTTGATATTTCTGAGATGTAAAATGATATGATCGAACCTAAAATAATTTATAAAACTCATAAAATGGTGTATGTGTTTCGGGTCAACTTGCTTTCATGTACCTAGGCGTAATAGCACCCCTACTTACACGCTACGGTCCAGAAAAGGTTATTTTACGCCCTTGATGCATTAATAACTATTATCTATACAATATGTAATCTTCAACAGTTTCTTTTTCATCACAACTTTTGTAACCTCAGAATAACAAGTTTTTTCTGTTGGTATCCGCAAGTTAACCATGAATGAAAATGTATTTAACAGTTATGTCTTGCAGCATTAGTGAATCAACAAAATTTAATATGTTATCACTAATACAACACATAAACATTGTTGTTCTGGGGTCATGAAAGTTGTAGTAAAATAGAAAAAGTGGGCGATAACAATCTATTCACCTATATACATATTTTTGTGATACCTAAATCATTCAATGTAGTCTCAATGTACCATCTAACTGTGACGAATTTTCCATTAGGAGAACATTTTTGAGACAGACAGCATCGCAAAATAGAGCATACTGTATTGATTCTACTTCACACTATGTATATGTTTAAATAAGCAGATTACCTCAAGTTATCATTTCTTTGTTTGGAATTGATGGAACACAACATTCCAGTGCGAAAACCATAAACGATTCGCTCAATTGCTTCAGAAAATATAAAATTGCAGATGAAGGATCAAATTCTGAAACCGTTCCATGTGTTCAGAACTATACATGAAAATATATTCATGCACTACCTGACGTAAAGTAACACTTAACCGCCCGGTTTTGCGAGCGTGAAGTGGCACTTTAGTGCCTGCGGACTACTTTATCGCTCGGCGTATAAGTGGCTCGTAATAAGCATTCCTGTATAATTCAGGACATTTATGCTCCAGTTGTCACGGTTGATTATCTACTATAGTTCTCTTTTGATATCTCTGAGATGCAGAATGATATGATCGAACCCAAAATAAATTATTTGTGATGACATTATTTGACATCAACTATAATAGCACAGCATAAGGATAAAAAGATTGAGAGTTACCATGGTAACGATGATTCTATCAATGATATTCCGCACTGCAGCGATGACGTATTTTTATCGTTCTTGACAGATGAAGAGGTATTCACTATAAAAAATCAAATATACTGATCGTGCATAAAATTTTGTATGTATTTCGGGCGCAACTTGCTTCAATGGACCTATTCGTGTTGAATTGTCCTCGAATCGCTAGGGCTCTTACTTACACGCTACATTCCATTAAAGCCTATTTCACGACCCTGATACATGAATATCTATTGTTATGAAATCTCACCTGTACCCCCTTCTCAATGGTAGTGACACATTCCATATGTACCATTAACCAATGCACAGCTTCTGCAGTAATGAAAGTGGTATTCGGAAAGTTCTGATTAAGGACTACGAATTGGAATCCCCCAGAAGGATGTTTCATGGCTTCAATTATTTCATTTGAGCTGGCATTAGCTCTAATGAATATGGGAACGATTGGGCTGAATCAAATTTGAAAATGAATATTTTACATTCCATAGGAGTTTAAAATTGTGAAATATACAGACCAATTTAGATGACATCATAAATACATTACGGGATTGAATGAATTCCCGGAATCAAAAAATAATCTATTACACTGCTGATCAAAATAGTCAAAACCAGTTTAAACTACTAAAAACAGTTACCTCTCATCCACAGTGGTTTCAAATCCTTCTTTTATATCTACTGACGTATCTTGGATGCCTTGAGATAACTTGCTTCTATCCATTACTTTGGAACCAGACCTAAAATATCAATATATTAATCGTTTTCAAGTCATCAAGATTAAGCAATATGGTCCCACAGGGTCTGATTATGGACAACTTTCGAATTCGAAATATAATTTTCAGTCAAAAAATATTGAGCATAGTGTGGTCAAATAGTTCTGAAAAAATGGTTCGCACAATAGCTCCTGGACAAATAAGCGCTTGTTTCTTGCCTACACCATTCTCGAGCACGATATTCTGTCGAGCGCCATTTTTCGTGGAACTGTTTTGTCACATGATATTTTTTCAGTCGCAATTTTGTCGGTAGTTTTTTTGTAACACAGCCTCTCTGACTTCAATGAGCGTTGAAAATTCAACGATACTGTTGCTACCATTGAAATCGAAACAAGGTTAGATTACTTGTATGTGAATTCCCAAATTTTTCGAAATTTTATTTTGATATTTCTTCTACACATACCAAAGTTTTCAATTGAAGAATGCATGTTTTCTACGTAAAAATAATCCATAGAATAAGAACAGAAGTTTCGTACACAAACATGCAAACTTGAAAAATTGGGAAAAATCTGTTGTTTTTTCTTGATAATCACATTGAAACTGAGATACTAATAGTATAAAGTGGGGTATTTTACATATAGCAAGTACCCTGATATCTAGAAGCGCTGGGAGCCGAACGATTTAATGTGCATACAGTATGTCCCGCTTCAAGTGTAACCGTCGTATTTTGGAGTAGAATGTGTTAGGAATCACCCTGTATTCAATGGAAAATATTTAAAATATATTGACAAGTGAGATTTTGATTTGATGTTGTCAGATAATATATGAATTTCGAGTTGTCAATATCTGATTCAGAAATAAATTTCATTATTATTCTCAGTCTGCATTTGATAGATTATAACCTCAGGTAGGCGTTATCATTCCGCACATAATTTGGCGACCGTGACAGGACGGAAGAATAAACATGGACAAATTGATAAAGACACTGGATATTCATAGAACCTCTGTTTCGAGAATCTATGATGCTGCTATCGATGCTTTGCAGTCTTCTCAACCCGATTTGATTGATATCCAAGGAAAACTTTATATCCACCAACAAAAAATTGAAACACTCGAAAAATTGGACAAGCAGTTTATCGAAGCCATACTTGATGCTGAATCCGGTGATGTAGATGTCGTTCATGAAATGGAGAAAGCTAATCAATTTTTTATGCGCTTCAACAATTTCAAACGCCAAGTGCAAAATCTACTCAGTTCTTCTTCATCTGAAGGGGTTCCTGATCGATCTCAAGGATATTCCATTTCAGACCCACAGAGAGTAAAACTTCCAACAATCGAACTCTATAAGTTTGGAGGAGATATTCAAGATTGGTCGAATTTTTGGGCTCGATTTGAACGTATCCATGATGATGAAGAATTGAATGGAGACAAATTCCAATATTTTTTACAAGCAACCATCCCCAAATCTAGAGCACAACAGGTCGTTAATAGTTATCCTCCTCCTAGAGAAAATTGCCCAGAAGCGATCAATAGTTTGAAAAGTAGATTTGGACGAGACGATTTGTTGGTAGAAGTATATGTGGGAGAGCTCCTCAACTGATATTGAATAATTTTCACGGCAAATCGAAACTCAGCTTCCTTCATGATAAACTGTAGACCCAGCTACGTGCGCTTGAAACCCTAGGGATCACATCCGACAAATGCGCTGCGATGTTATATCCCCTGATAGAATCATGTCTTCCAGAAGAAATTCTTCATGTTTCGCAAAGAAGCACTAATTTTTCCACGTTGGAACCTTTGGAGATACGTCTTGATAACTTGATGATCTTCCTTCGCAATGAGGTAGAAAATGAAGAGAGAATAAGGCTTGCAACTTCGAGATTTTATTAATAAACAAAGTACAAAATCAAATATGATTCGACTTCTATTCCCACTGTGTCTGGATTAGTGAATATCAAGTTACCCAAGTGTGTTTTCTGTGAGGAATATCATCCGAGTACAGATTGTAGTGATTGCCCAGAGATGAGCTATGAAGATCGTAAGAAAATCCTTTCTCAGAAAGGGTGTTGTCATTTCTGTTTGAAATTTGGCTATATAGCACGTGAATGTATATCTGCAGCTAATTTGAAATATAAAGTATGTGGAGGTCATCATGCAATTCTCATGTGTTCGAAAACTGATTTTTCTAAACCTGGAATTGGCGAAATCATCGAACCTACAGAGACTCTTTCAAATCATACTCACACTGAAGTATTTCTGCAGACTCTATTGGTTCAGTTACAAGGAGAAAGCAAATCAAGGAAAGTAAGAGCGGTTATTGATACCAGTTCCGAGAGATTGTATATTATTAAGTATACAGCAATGGATATGGAATTCGAGCCTGTTAGATCTGAAGATATGATTCATGCATTATTTGGGGGATACAAATCTGGAGTAACTAACCATATTTGCTATAGGGTGATTTTGAAATTCTTGGATGAAGAATACTCATGCAGTCTTGAAGTTCTTGATCAACCTATGATCTGTAATGATGTATTCATACGCGAAGGTCCTTGGATTCAAGAACTCATCGAATTGGATATCCAAATAACTGATAGAGAGCTGGGTCCGATAGATATTCTCATAGGAGCTGATGTATATGGAAAGTTGCTTGCTGATGTTCGCTATATTCTGAAGTGTGGTTCAGTGGTCATAAAAAGACTTCTCTAGGATGGACCTTGATGGGAAAAACAGAGTGATCCTCAATGAACCCCGAATAGTCTCATACCATGTTATCAACCACTTAATTCAGTGAATCTTTTAGTATCAGCGATTTATGGAGTTTGGATGTTTCGGGTATAACGGAACCAAAGGAACAAAAATCAACAGAAGAGTACGAGAAATCTATAATGGATCATTTTCTCGCCTCTGTTGATAGAGATAGTGAGGGTAGATACCAATTTGATATGCTCTGGATTGAGGGAAACCCTCCACTACCAGATAATTATCAATTAGCAAAATCGAGGTTGGATTCACTGATGACTGAACTAGATAAAGATGGATAATATCAGGAGTATAATGGAGTTTTCCAAAAATGGTTTTTCGAAGGAATGAGAAGATACCAGATGGAGCAATCAACTCGGAAGGTTACTATGTACCTCATCGTCACGTCATCGTGAAACTGAACAGTAGTACAACGAAGCTTCGTCCTGTCTTCGATGCATCTGCCAAACTGAAAGGCGCACCTTCTTTGGATCAATGTTTGGGGGAAAGTTTGAATCTCATGAATTTAATACCTGCAGCTCTCTCGAGATTCCGTATGTCAAAAATTGGTGTTATTTCAAACATCAAAAACGCATTCCTCCAAATGAATTTGAGTGAAAATGAAAGAGATTCTTCTGGTACGATGAAGAAAAAAAAACTTTCATTCTATCGACACACTAGGGTGGTTTTCGGTATACGAAACATACAGACATACAGTCCATTCTTATTAGGAGCCGTGATCAATTATCATCTCTAGAAGTCAATTGAAAAATCAGATCGATTTTCTGAGGACATCATGAAAAAACTAATGGAGAGTTTTTATGTCGATAACTGCGTCACCAGTGTGCACGATGAGAAAGAGCTCCATACATTCATCACCGAATCACGAGAAGTTATGACTGATGGTAAGTTTGAACTCCAAGGATAGGAACACACTGTAAATGATGACACTGAAGCCAACTGCCTAAAACTGGAATCTGCTGTCTTGGGACTCATGTGAGGAAGAAAACCTAATATTTTGAAACTATCTTTCGAGGGATTTGACGGCATCAACCTGAACCAGATAACAAAGAGGGTAATTCTCTCTGTGGAGAATCGGGTATTTGATCCAATAGGTTTTGCTACCCCAAACCTGATTTGTCCAAAACTGCTTCTTCAGAGAACGTGCACTATGAATTTAGTATAGAATTCAGAAGTGACGAGGGGCATGGAGAATAATTTTCAAAAATTGCTCAGAGAATTGAACTCTTTGACGTGTATGAAAATTCCTAGATGGTTGATGCACGATTCTAAGTATGAAAAACACTATAGTTTGCATATATTCAGTGATGCCAGTCAATATTCCTACGCTTCAACTATTTTCCTGGGAACTAAGTCTGCAGATTGTGTAACTGTCCAATTGATTCAAGCAAAATCAAGAGTTTGCCTTTTGATGAAATTGTCAATAACACGTCTTGAATTGTTAACTGCGACAAGAAGTGAAAGATTACATGTTTCCGTGATGAAATAATTCAAAAACATTTCTATATCAACGTTTTTTTGGACAGATTCATCAACAGTGTTGTCTTGGATAAAAGGGAAAGATGTGTGGGAACCATTTGTTTGGAATCGTATCCAGGAGACAAGATAGTTGTCGGACGAAAATTGCTGGTATCACGTTCCAGGTAATATGATCCCGGAAGATTTACCATCAAGAGGGTGTACAGTGACACAGTAACACCAAACGCGTTGGTGGAAAGTACCTTCTTGGATATATGAAGATGAAAACGAATGGCCTGCTCAACAATTTGATGTCAATGAAGACTTGACGGAAGGAAAGAAAAAAGGTGTAACTTCTCTGTTCTGCAAAAATAAACCTGATTTCTCCTACTTTTATCGTTACTTTTCACGCTTTGATAATATTTTCAACACCACAAGTTGGGTGAAAAGGTTCATCTTTAATTGAAGACATCCTATGAACTGGGGGCAAGGAAAATCAACAGTAGAAGAGAGAGAAGATGGTGAGAGAACTCTTTCGAGATGTATACAACTGGCACAAAGATTTCTTCCTTAGCGTATTTTCAAGAAAGCGATGGTTTGTTCAGATTGAAGACAATAATAACTGAAAGAGATGACTTGAAAGAGTTTCGATTTCCTTTTTTATTACCTAACAAGCACCCTGTGGTTGTTCGATTAATTTATGATATGCAAGCATTTCACGTAGGAGTGCGGGGTCTTCTTTCCATCCTCAGAGAAGAATACTGGATCATCGGTGGAAGAAAATCAGTTGTCAGTGATATTAA